TATTGCTTCAAATAGATTTTCTAATCCTTGCTGCCCTTTTTGTCCTTCTGGCAGCCCTATTATACATATGGTACTTCGTTTCATGTTATCCCAAAGCTCCCTTACGCTCTCCTGCTTTTTAATTTTTCTCTCCAGTTGCTGTTCAGATTGAGCTTGTTTCTCTATCTTCTAACTCACTAATTCGGTCCTCTGCTTCTTCTAGTCTACTGTTGAAACCTTCCATGGTGTTTTTGATTGTAGCTATATCACTTTTCATTTCTTCCTGATTCTTCCATAAGTTCTTGGTTTTCTCATCCATCCAGTGAATGAATTGTACAACCATTACTCTGCATTCTTTTTCTGTCATGTTGCATGCTTCAGTTTCATTAATTTCCTTTCTTAGCAACTCCTCATTTTCTTTCCTCTGGGTGTTGTGTCGTCTCCCCATTCTGATTATCTCCAGATGGTTCAAACGTCGAGTTGTGTGGGCCTGGACTGTGTGCAGTGGGAGCTTCGCACCACCCTAGTGTCACTGAAGAGCTCAGACACTATGATGTGTGGTTGTGGTGGGTTGGTGAGAACCAGGCTCGCTCAGAGTCAGCATTACCAGTGCTCAATGTGGCCTCATGTGCGCCCTTAGAATCAGGGACCCTGCCTATACCGTGCTGAAACAGAGACCCCCCCCCCCGGAGTGTGTTGAAAATCAGAGCTCACTAGTGTGCGCCAGAAGTCAGAGTTCCCCAAGAATCCAGTATCAGAGACTCTGTTGCTTCACGCGGCCTCGCATTGAGAATCAGGGCCACTGTGTGCCCATGCACCAAGAATTGGAGTCACTGGCTCTTTGTATGAATGCACAGGGAGTCAGGGATCTCAGGCGCAGGTGATAAGAAACACAGTCAAGTCACTGGTGCTTGGTGCTGCCTCCTGCCTAGAGAATCGGGGTCCCAGGGCCCGTGCTGCACAGAACAAGTTCCCAGTGTTCGCACATTAGTTCCCAGGCTGAGGCTCCCATAGCCTGTGGTGCACGGGACAAGTTCTGGGCCTCTAGTATTTTAATGGGAATAGAAGGAAAGTACATCAACATAATAAAGTCCATCTATATATATAAAACTGATCGACTGGTAGCTATGATATGCACTGACCACCAGGGGGCAGACACTCGACGCAGGAGCTGCCCCCTGGTGGTCAGTGTGCTCCCACAGCGAGAGCCCGCTCAGCCAGAAGCCAGGCTCAGGCTGTGGCGGTGCGACCCTCTCCTGCTTTTGCAGCAGCACTAACAAGTGCCAGCGGTGGTGGCAGGCACAGCAGGGCTGGGATCAGTGGAAGCAGCATGGCTCCCAGCTGGGGCTTGGGCTCCCCCCTGGCCGCCTGCCACTTTGCACACTACTACACCTCTCTGGGGATGTGAGACTGCCGGTTTCAGCTGAAACTGGCAGTCCAACATCCCCTGATGGATCCTGGATTGCGAAAGGGTACAGGCCAGGCTGAGGGATCCCACCAGTGCATGAATCCATGCACCAGACCTCTAGTATATGATAAACCCTCAGCTAATAAACAATGGTGAAAAACTGAAAGCTTTTCCTCTAAGATTAGGAATAATATAAGGATGTCCACTCTCACCACTCTTATTCAGCATAGTGCTAGACATCCTAGCCAGATCAAAAAAGCAAGAGAACAAAATAAAAGGTATCCAAACAGGGAAGGAAGAAGTCAAACTGTCACTTTTTGTGAACATGATTCTGTATATATAAAACCGTAAAGACTCCACCAAAAAACTATTAGAAACTATAAACTAATACAGTCAAGTTACAGGATACAAACCAATGTGCAAAATTCATTGCCTTGCTGTATACTAACAGCAAAACTTCAGAAAAGAAATGATTTTGCAAATGCAACCAAAAGAATAAAATAGCTAAGAATAAACTTAACAAAATATGTGAAAGGTCTATATACTGAAAGTTACAGGGCATTATTAGAAGAGATTGAAAAAGACACAACAAAATGGAAAAATATCCCATGTTCATGGATTAGAAGAATCAACATAATTAAAATGGCCATATTACCCAAAGCAATATACAGATGTAATGCAATCCCCTTCAAAGTCCCAATGTAATTTTTTTAAAAAATAGGATGAGAAATCATCAGATTTGTAGGGAGCCAAAAAGGACCCCAAATAGTTAGGGCAATCCTGAGAAAAAAGAACAAAGATGGAGGTGTCACGCTACCTGACTTCAAATTATACTACAGAGCTATGATAGTACAGATCAAAACAGCTTGGTATTGGCAGAAATGGACACACAGATCAATGGAACAGAATAGAGAGCCCAGCTATAAAATCAAATTTATATGGACAGATAATTTTCCTACAAAGGAACCAGTGACACACAATGGAGTAAAGATAGTCTCTTTCAATAAATGGCGCTGGGAAAACTGGAAAGCCACCTGCAAGCGAATGAAACTGGATTACAGTTTGTCCCCATGTACAAAAATTAATTCAAAATGGATCAAAGACCTAAACATAAAACCTGAAACAGGAAGTTACATAGAAGAAAATTTAGGTGCCAAACTTATGGGCCTTGGTTGTAAAGAACATTTTATAAACTTGATTCCAAAGGCAAGGGAAGTAAAGGCAAAAATAAATGAATGAGACTATATCAAACTAAAAAGCTTCTGCACAGCAAAAGAAACGGACAACAAAACAAAGAGGCAGCCAATCAGATCAGACATGATCTTTGGAAACAGTAGCACAACAAAGGTTTAATTTCCAAAATATATAAAGAATGGCCCTTTGCAATCTGAAAATTACCTAAAAAACTGCAGCTGGGCCAGACAGACCCAGAAATTCAAGAGAAGGCCCAAGCCCCCACAGGAGTTTGCATTGCTTCACAGCTGGGCCTCATTTGGGCACCTCCAAACCCCTAACAAGGAAGGGGAATCTGCAGATCTCCTCGTAGCTCCAGCAACAAGACAAGCACTAACAAGTGTTGGAGAGGTTATGGAGAAAAAGGGAACCCTCATTCACTGCTGGTGGGAATGTAGACTGGTAGGCTGAGACAGCCCTGTGGAAAGCAGTCTGGCAAACCCTCAAATAAATTAAGAATAGAGCTACCTTATGACCCAGCAATCCCACTCCTGGGTATATACCCAAGAACTCAAAATCATGTATTTACAAAGATATATTCACCCCTATGTTCATTACAGCAATATTCACAGTAGATAAGACATGGAAACAACCAAAGTGTCCTGCTATTGAGGACTGGATAAAGAAGATGTGGTACCTATACACAGTGGAACACTACTCAGCCATAAGAAACGATGAAATAGAGCCATTTGCAGCAACATAGATGGGCCTTGACAACATTATGCTAAGTGAAATAAGTCAGTCAGAAAATGCTAAGAACTGTGTGATTTCACTTACATGTGGCATATAAAACTGAGACTTGAGAACACAAACAGCAGTGTTGTGGTTGCCATAGGGAAGGAGCTTGGGGAGAAGGGGGTCCTAACATAGTGACAGGAGAAGATTTGACTTTGGGTGGTAGGCACACAGTGCAATATACAGATCTTGTAACATAGAAGTCCATACCTGAAACCTATATGATCATGTGGTCTCATGTCACCCATGTAAATGTAATTTAAAACAATAAAAAAACAGCTTTTAAATCAACATGTTTTTATTTCTATCATAAAATAATCACTGTACCATGAATTTCTGAAATCTTTTAGAGAAAAGAAAATAAAGCTAAGAATCCACATATTTTAGTATTAAAGAAACTCTAAAACTAAGAAATATGACAAGTAAAAAAGAAACAGAGTTAATATAGAAAGTCATGTTGTTCACAAGCCCCAAGCATCTACCACTTGTCTAGAGAGGAGAGTGAGAATGGAGTCCCAGCTCCTCCTTTTTCTTGTCTTTCAGCATTGAGTGGAGCAGAGGAGGAGAAGTTGCAGGAAGAATAATGAGCTTTGAAAGGTGAGCTGCTGCCCTCCCTCAGCCCTGCCTGGGAGTTTGCCTCCATCTGCATGTCCGTGAGGCCCAGGGCCCGGTCCCCGAGGATGCCAGGGCAGAGCCGTCTCTCAGGAAGCAGAGCCCTCGGGAGGCTCCAGGAAGGAGGGAGAAGGCAGATGCTTCCCAGATTCTGTGCTGGGAACTAAGCCTTAGGGCCTGGGAATGGGTGTCTCCCAAGCAGGGGTCCCAGGAGGGGCATTTGGGCTGCGGTGGAGCAGTACTGCCTGACTGGGAGCTGGGGCCTCCAGGTCCCACTGTGGGCCTGCTGCTCACCTTTGCTCAGGTTCCTCCCAGGCACCCCTGCCCTTTCTCCCCTAAAGGGAAGTAGGGAGGGCCGCAGGGGGTAGTGGATAGGAAACACTTTGTAAATGACAAAGCACTACCTGTCCTGAGCCTTGTCAGGGGTCATGTGGCCTTGACTCTGAAGCTTGGGCTCCTGAATCAGCTGTCCTGGGTGTCACTCTTAAAAGGCCATGGTACTCAGCCTCCTGTAACACCCCCTGGCCCTGGTGTACCATGTGACCCAGTCCCCTGACTTCCAGCCTGCAGAGAGTGCCTGCAAGAACTGGAAAAGGCTCGGAACCTAATCAATCTTCTTGGAAGGTAAAGAATCTTCCCCTTCTCTCCAGGGTCCTCTTCCCTCCTGAACCTATGATGTCACCTTAGGCCGCTGGGCACTGACCTGGGAGGGGCCATGGGACA